TTACCATGGACTACAAGAAGAACAAACCCATATATCTTGGGGAAAGTACAGTCAAAATGTATCCTAGGAGATGAAGTGGATATTCTCTTGCCTTCTTTGGGCCAGTCCCTGGGAAAGGACATCGTGCTTGATAAAGTAGAGGCCCAGCACAATAAGAAGACAACTTTCCAAGCTGTAGATTGACTCAGAGCCGCAATAATGGACTCAGCACAGTAGCAAGGTTAAGGCTGGTGCATCATTGGGAGGCACTTCATCTCTTGAATGTAGGGTTGCTAGGAGTCAGAACTGGCTCGATGCACCTCACACACTCAGCCTACACCCTTTTGCACGGATAAAAGCAAACATTGAAGTGACAGCACCAAGAATAATTAGGTAATCAGGAAAAATGGGTTTTTATTTCTTGGGTTAATAATTAACTGGCATTTATTCAAGCCTATAAGAATTTAGCAATGGACATGGTCACAGCTAATCCAAGTGCCTAACAATCTGCTTGGAAGCAGGAGTGGCACCCACTTCCTAAACAATATGCCTCTGGAAACTCTATGAACTGATAAATGTCAATAGTTATAGAAAGACTTCAGGCCTTTTGTTCATAGGGTCACTATGAGTCATGCTCAACTCGATGGCAATCAGCAACAACAACAGTAACCTGCAGCTTCAAACATTATACCACCAGGGACCATCTTTTATAGTGAGCCTTTTCCTTCTTGCTTGTTTCCTCTTTGCTCTCATCAGTGATTCCTGAGAAAACATCAACCTTGCTTATGAGAGAACAGATCTAGCAAGTAGAGCTTTCCATCTAAAGACACTCGATCAACCTGAATCAACAAACTTTCAAGAAAAGTTCTTTTTAATGTTTTCTTCCCAAGGGAGCTCTGGGGGCCTAGTGACAAGAAGCTGCACTTCAGTCCCTGAGGTATGTGGTTCAAATCCACCAGATGCTGTGCTTGAGAAGGAGGGACAGTCTTCTCCTGTACCAGTCAGATCCGATTTTTTTAAATTATTTTTTTTTTATTCCCAAAAGCCAATTGCCATCCTTGTTACATTTGCATATTAGCTAGGGTTCTATACTCCAGTTTGCCTTTCAGTACCTAGTAGTGACTCTAAATCAGCTTCTGTTTCATCGTATCTTGGCCTCACTCCCTCAGTGTTGGTTACCTTCTCAAGTCCCATGAGATCTCAGGAAGATCCTGGTAACTCCTGCTACTGCCTCTTCTTGGGGTGGAGTTAGCCAGTGCTCTCTTGTTGTTGTCGTGTACCATGAAGTCACAAGCAACCCATCGCTGACCCTCCAGTGGATTTTCAGAGATAGAAGGTCACACAGGAGAGATTGTCCATCCTTCTCTCTCAGAGCAGCTGATGGGTTTGAACTGCATGCCTTCAGGATTGCAGCCCAATTTCTTACCATTAGGCCACCAGAGCTCCCTAATGCTCTGTTGGTCTCCTCAACTTTAGATGGATCACCTGCCCCATCTCTGAGCCAATCATTATGACTAGGGAATGTGATTGGCAGACAGTACAAGAAGAGATGCCCTAGAAAGAAATTGGCATATAAAATTCAAAAGACTGCTAAGTGGGTTGAGCCTTTCTAAGTGTATTCATGGCTGTAAACTACAGAATCAGAGCGCCTGAGGAATGAGACATGATCATTCCCTTTACTACCTTTGTAATTAATTGACCATAAGGCATATTTACCTAACAGGTCCCCTTGAACTTGCCAGAGCAAAGTCAATTCCTACACCTCTGCCAGTAACCTCTATATTTCTTTTCTAGGAACTGGGATGAAAATAGTAGAATATAACTTTTCTTACCTTCCCCCAATTCATTCAATAATGTTAAATCAGTAGGAACGAGCTATGGGAATGAACAAATTTAAAGAGCTTCAGAGGACAGGAGGTATGGAGTAGTACAGAGCCAGTGGGGCCAACTCAGCTTCTGAAATTCAAGAAAGGAAGAAAGAATTAATGGAAAGACCGAGAAATGAACAATAGGGAGATTTTCAAAATCACTGGACTTCTATTCATTGCAACTCTGTGCAAAACAGAATGAAACGCTAGCCGTTGTGGCGCCAGCCTCACCATTGCTGCTGTGCTTGGACTCACTGTTGTGGCCACTGCATCAGTCCATCACTGAGGGCTGTGGTCTTTTCCCCTGAGCCTCTGATTCACAGGCATGATGTTTTCTCACTGGAACTGGCCCTCCTGATAACATGCTCAAAGTATATGAGATAAAATCTCACCATCCTAACTCCTAAGGAGTATCTGGCTTCATTTCTTCCAAGACAGACTTGTTGGTTCTTCTGAAAGTCCATGGTCAATGTTCTTCACCACCATCACAATCCAAATGCAACAGTTCCTCAGTGTTCCTATTCATTGCCTAGCTTTGTATGCTTGTGCGACGGTTAAAAATACCATGGGTGGGGGGGAACCCAAACCATAGCTTGGGTCAGGCACACCTTAGTCCTCAAGGTGACATTTTTACTCTTTCATGAAGAATGTACTTTGTGGAAGATTTATCCAAAGCAAGTTATTTAGTTTCTTGACTTCTACGTAGAATGAAATCGGATAACTTTAGTGTTTCCTCAATTTTTCTCATAATGTTGTGTACTGGTCCATTTGTGAGAATATTTTGTTCTATGTCAAGATGCAATACCTACTGAAGGTTTTACTCTTTGTAAGTTCTTCACATCCTTTTCACTGTCAGCAAGCCAAGTTGTGCTGTCTGTATTTCAGGTTGTTAATGAGTCTTCCTCCAGTTCTTCTTCCTAAAGTAGAACTTTTTAGGTTATTTGCTCAGCATACATATTAGATATAATGAAAGGGTACAACTCTCCTGGTTTTAAACTAGGCAATATTCCCCTTTTTTGTTCAAATGACCACCTTTTGGTCTGTGTTCAGGTTCTGCATGAACACAATCAATCATCTAGAACTCCTAGAAGGTACACATTAGTCTCCAAACTCTGTATGGCCTCATTCCTTGTAATGAATTTAAATGGGCCCATGTAATTGTGACGCTGGACCAGATGTCCCAGATGGATGAATTAAGGGTGTTTGATTTCCCTGGACACTGTTCTCGATGACTCCAAGTCACCTCAGGAGGACACACAGGACCAGGGATCCTTGACTTGCTGCATAAAGATGTCAAGCATGGTTCTGGATCCTGAGTGAATAAAATCCAGCTGAAGATACCGAAAGTTCTGTCTGCTGGTGCTGTTCTAGAAACATCTGTTCTTATCCCTCACCGTGAGCCCCAGAGTTCATGTCCTCACTGTCTGCAGAGAAGTGTGAGCCCTGTCGGATAGATATCTGGCCTTGCACAGGCTGATGGTAAATTTAGCTTCTTACCTCAAAAGTGTGTGTTTTCCAGGCAAGAGAAGTGAGAACAAGGGAAAGCAACTGAGAGAGGAGAAAAAAGGAGAGAAGGAGGAAGAGGAAAGGAGAGACTAAGAAAGGGGATAGAGAGGCAGAGGAAAAGAGTAGAGAAAGGAGGAAGGGAAGGGGAGAGAATAGGAGGGGAGGGAAGGAGAAAGGGTCAGGGAGAGGAAAGGAGAGAGGAGGGCGGGGTAAAGAGGAGAAGAGAGGAGAGCGAAGAGAAGGGAAGGGAGGGGAGGGGAGGGGACAGGGGGTGAGCAAAATTTAAAATCTTGGTCTGTCTCCACCATCATCAGCTTGACCTTGGACAAATTCTAAGCCTCTTCAAGTCTCATTTATCAAATAGGAGCTAGGAGACCTCCTCCTCTTGAAAGCCGTTGTGAACTCTGTATGGATTAAGCACAGTAAATGACAGCGCTTCTAAGTGTCCTTTAATCACTTGGCAAGAGGGAATAGCCATGAGACCCCACCACCAATGGCTTACACTGAGGGCCAAGCAGGCATCAGCCCTCCTTAACATTTTCTTCTCCCTGATTAGGGGTGTTTTGATGTGTTCTCCATTGGAGATAGCTGGACAGGTACCTGCCCCAGTGTCAGACAACTGAATACTCCCGTGACAAACATTTATCCAGCATCTGCCAGGAATCGGGTGTGGAGGGTTAAGTGTTAATGAGATTTGTGGGACCGTGCCACTCCAGAACTCTGGATCTAGAGAATCTAGATAGAGCACAGGTGCCAGACATGCTGCTGCTCGCTGCTCGGACAGAAAGACAGCAGGCTGTGGAGTCCTGCAGAGTTGCCTTGGAATCACAATCATTAGTTAATTTATTTCTCCAACAAATATTTGAGGCCTGTTTATGAAGTATGAGAGTTCTGGTGGCCTAGTGGTAAGAAGCTGTGCTGCAATCCCAAAAGGTACGCAGTTTGAATCCATCAGCTGCTCCACAGGACAAAGATGGGCAATTTCCTCCCACACAATTTACCGCCTCTGAAAACCCACCAGAGCGTCAGCTATGGGTCAGTTCCAACTTGATGGTACTCCACCACGAACAATTTATTATGTTTTTCGAGTCTCTGAGTGGTGCAAACTGTTCAAGCAAGCTCTCTGCTGCTAGCCAAGAGTTTGGTGGTTCACGTCCACCCAGAGGCACTTCAGAGAGCAGTCTTGGTGATCAGTTTCTAAAAATGCACAGACTGAAAACCCAGTGCAGCTTACTCCTACCCTGGCACCCACGGGGTTTCCATTCATCAAGCGAACTCAGTGGCTCTTGATTTTTACTAAGAGCCAGATGTTCATTCCAGCTGCTAAGGATACAGGAGTGGGTAACAGAGAGAGAGCATCTCTAATCTCTCACAAGATGAAATCAACAACTCACAGCCAACGCTGGCATTATGAGAAAGCCCATGCCAGCCTCCTCCCAGAGTGTATTTAATGAGTTAAGGTGTATGGGTGCCAGTCATGAGACCCATGGCAGGGACCACCCAACTTAGAGAGAGTCCAGAAAGACTTCCTGGGGGAGGTGACTCACAAACTGAGACCTTGGACAGCAATTATATACCTGGAAAGAGGGGGTGGAAACCATCCCAGCCTGCGATAACCTCTCCTGACCTTCCTGTCTGCCCCTGCAGGTCTCCTACCCGTGGGTGAGAAGCCCAATGCCCTGGCCCAGGCCACAGCCACTTTGGACCTCACAGCAGCCGAACAAGTCACCTTCGCCACCCCATTTCCCCTTCTACCAGGGCATCCAGCAGATGCCAGCACAGAGGAGCTGGTCCCAGGGCCTCCCCAGGTCCACCATGGCCCAGCCCTGCCCCCACAAGCGGCCTGAGAGCACCGGCGGGAAGATGTTCTCATTTGTGGTGGACAAGACCCACAAGGTTCCCTTCATCAAGCAAGGTATTTCTTTATTGGCACTTTTGCGTGTGGCTTAGGGATGGCCTCACAACCTGAGGGTGTGTGCGCACTGTCACTTCTATTTATCTCTTGTTCTAAAAGTAGGACACAGTCAATTGTTAAAAAATAAATAAATACATTGAAGATAAACAGAAAGTAAGAAACCCCTTAAATCCAGGTGTCATCTTTATGGCCCTGCTCCCTCTGTGGACGTTTCAGGCATCCATCCTTTCAGACTTTCTGTTGTGGCCACATAATGTTTGTCCTGTGGCAGGTGACTAACTGTATGTTGCATACGTATGTGAATAGAGACCACAAATCCGAACCCAAACTCACTGGGGCTGGCATGTCCATTTTGACTCATGGTGTGTTCCCTCCAGTGAGTTTACAGTGTTATGAATCTTTATGGAAGCACACAACCTCATTTTTCTCCCGTCTAGTGGATGGTGGATTTGAACTGCCTTCCTTTATGTTAGCAGTACAACATGAAATACATTGTTGGTCTAAAGTGATATGCTTTAACTCAAATACATAGAGCCATGTGTTCCTGTAATCCCCTTCTCTTTCCCACAGCTGCCCTGGGAGGCTTTCCCTTTTTGTTTTCCCCCATTTATAAATTTTAAAACTTTATTTCCTCTCTCTCTCAGCTCACCCCATAATGCACCCCTTATTCCAGATTCTTCTCATACATTTAATACATAATCATATTCCTTTCAGATTTTTCTTTCATTCATCTGTTCTAATGCTAGTGTTAATTATCTCTTCACTCTCTCCCCAATCCCTCCCCAGCTCCCCCATGTCTGTCCTATTTTATAACAGTGGTGTGTTATGTAGTATTTATCCTTTTGTGACTGAGATATTTCACTCAGCATGATATCCTCAAGTCTCCCCCATGTTGTGTAATATTTTAGTATTTCATTGTTTTCCATGCTGTGTAGTATTCCACTGTGAATATACCATATCTTTACTATACATTCATTTGTTGATAGGATCTGGATTGCTTCCGTTTCTTTGCTGTTGTGAATAATGCACCAGTGAACATGGGTGTGCACCCATCTGTGTGAGCTGTGGCTCTAGTTTCTTTAGGGTAATAGTCCCAGTAGTGGAATTTCTGAGACAAATGTTATTTCTATTTTCGACTTTTTGGGAATGTGCCAGACTGCCTTCCATAATGGTTGTACTGTTTGACACTCCCATCAGCAGTGAATAAGAGTTCTAATCTTTCCACAACCTCGCCAGCATTTGTTTGCTGCCCTGTTGAACTTTGCAATTGTTGCTGGTATGAGGTGGTATCTCATAGTTGTTTGATTTTTATCTTTCTGATAGATAGGGGTTTTGAACATTTTCTTCATGTGTTTGTTCACCATCTATCTTCTTTGGTGACATTATGTACCTATCCTGCACCCATTTTATGATTGGTTTGTTTACCTTTGTCTTGTTGAGGTGCTAGAGTGTTCTATAAATTTTAGATCTAAGTCTCTTAACAGATATGTCATGGCAAAATATTTTTTCCCAGTCTGGTTTTCCTTCTTATCCTCTTAGAGAAGTTTTTGGATGTGCATAGGGATTTGATTCCTAGAAGGTCACATTCATCTATTTTATTCTCTCCTGGTTGTAGGGTTTTTATTATGCTTGAAAGTCTGTTCATACTGTGGATTAGGGCTTCTAAAGTTCTTCCTAGCTTTTCTCTGATGAAATTTATAATCTTTGGTTTTACTTTTCAGTCCCTAATCTACCTTTTGTTGGGTTTTATGTAAGATGTGAAGTGTGGGTCTTGCTTAAGTTTTCTGTAGATGGTTTTCTAATTTTGCCAACACCGTTTGCTAAAGACACTGTCATTTTCCCACTTAACTGACTCTGTCTCCTTGGCAAAGATCAGTTGACAGTAGGTGGACGGACTGATTTCTGTTCTCAGTCTGTTCCATTGACCTATATGTCTGTTGCTGTATCCGTACCGTGCTATCTTCACCACCATGGATTTGAGATCAGGGAGTGTGATGCCTCCTACCTTGTTTCCCTTTTTCAGTAGTGTTTTGCTTTTGGGGGTCTCTTTCCATTCCAAGTAAAACTGAAAACTGCCTTTTCTAGATTGCTGAAGAATAGAATTTGTATCTGTATTGAGATTGCAGTGGACCCTGGGAGGTTTTTAACAGTTCATTACATTTTACAAGTGTGAAGCAACCTGAGATTTATGAAAGAAAAGAACATAGAAGACAGATACTCCATCTAATTTTATTTCCTGTCAGTTTTAGGGATTATTGCGTAGTTGTCTCCTCACAGCCTGGTCACTGCAGGTCACACACAACTTCAAGAGTTTCTTTCTCTCTCCCTTCCCATCCTCACTTAATGACCACACAACATCTGGGGACTAACTTCGTGTCTGTCACCATCCACATCCGGCCTCCCCAGGCTCACTGGAGAATAGGCAAGTCAACTTCATTCACCTTCATTCCTGGGCACAATTGTTTTATTATAAACCAAATTTGGGGATATGTGGTTCTCTAATGTATTTCTTTCTGGCCAGATTTTCAGTCCTCTATCCCAACTCCAAATCCTCTGAGTCTCCAAGTTTCTTGGTGCCTCCATCCCATTCCATGACCTCACTTAGGATCAGTCACCAAGTCACTCCCCTCAGCCATTAAGTGAGTGGTGTTGTTTTTATGTGCCTTCGAGTTGCTAGCAATTCATAGCGAGCCTATGTAAAACAGCCCTAAACCCTGTCCTATCCTGTGACAATCTTCTTGTCTCTAACACACCTACCCCTATTACCCAAGTCATTGAATCAATCCATCTCATCGAGGGTCTTCCTCTCTTACGCTGTCCCTCTCCTCTCCCAAACAATGAATGAATGGAATCCCAAAATCTCTGTAGATGTTCATTGAAATGAAAAATAAACAACCTAAATTTAAAAAAAAAAAAGTCATATGGCTTAGAGGCCCTCATATCTCCTGAGGCTTCTCCATCACAGCTTCCCATCTGGATCCCTTCGCATCCCTTTGTAGGGATCCCTTGGGTCTGGCAGCTCTTGGTCTGATTGCTATCCTTTTGGTTTTCTCTGCTTTAGCATGTCATATAAATGACATTTTACAGTCTTTTTTGAGGGGGGAGCTGGATTGTTTGTTGTGTTGTTATTTTTACTTTGTGGAGTTTTTTCCCCTTTTAAATTTTGTATGCTTTGTTTTTGAGACTATAAACATACACTAACTCAACAGATTCTACAGGTACAATTGAGTGGCATTGATTACATTCTTTGAGTTGCACAACCCTTCTGACTCTCCTTTTCTGAATTGCTCCTCCCTCATAGCATCAACTCCTGACAACACACCCAAAGTAGGTGAAACTAAGTTCCCCCATCTTTGCCTCTAAGGGGCACCTTCATGACACTCTGTCCCAGATAGACTTGGGAAGAGGAGCCAGTCTTTAGAAAAATATATCATGCTGGGAGAGATGGAGGGTCAGAGAAAGAGAGGAAAGCACCCCCCAACAAGAAAGATTGACACAGTGACTAACAATGGGCTCAGGCATGTCAGAGATGGTGAGGCTGTCGCAAGGTAGGGCAAGGTTCAGATCCAGTGTTCATTGGGTTGCTCTGAGTCATAGTCCACTTGATGGCTCCTAACAACAACAGCGGCGGCAGTGTAACATCAACTCACTGTACAAGGTTGCATCTTAATGGCCAGAATTCATGGACTGTGTGAAAAAAAAAATGACAGATCACAGAGAATACCCAAACTAGTTTAAAAATATCACCTTGATTCATATATTTTGTTCCTAATAGGGGATAATTTGACTCTAATATTGGTAACTTGCTTTTGAAAATTCGACGAATTTTCACCAAAGAAGACATTCAGAAGGCAAACAAGCACATGAAGAAATGTTCAAAATCCCTAGCTCTAAGAGAGATGCAAATCAAAACAACTGTGATATATCATCTCACCCCAGTGACAATAGCAAAGTTCAACAGAGCAGCAAACAACAAATGCTGGCGAGGTTGTGGAGAAACTGGAACCCTTATTCACTGTTGGTGGGAGTATAAAATGGTGCAACCACTGTGGAAGGCAGTATGGCTCTTTCTCAAAAAGTTGCAAGTAGAAATACCATTTGACCCAGTAATTCCACTACTGGGAATATACCGCAAGAAACCATGACAGCCACCCAGGCAGATAGATGCACACTCATGTATATTGCTACTTTTTTTCATAATCAAAGAGATGGAAACAACCCAAGCGCCCATCAACAAATGAATGGATAGAGAAGCTGTGGTATAGTCACACATAGGAATACTACACTGCATTGAAAACAAGGAACTCCTGTACTATTCCCTGGAGGACATTATGCTGTGTGAAATATCTCTGTCACAAAAGGACAAATACTGCATAATGCTACTGTTATAAAACAGGACTGACATGGAGGTTAGGAGAGAACCAAGTAAAGAGGAGATAAATAATGTATACTGCATTGAAACAGATAAGGCAAAGAACTGTTTAAAAGGAATATATGATTAGGTATTATTTGCATGATAGCAGTCCATAATAAGAGGTGCATAGCAAAGTGGACTGGAATGGGGGAGGAAGTTGTACAACAATGAAGAATTTTTTTTTCAAAGAGAAAAATGAACTGGGCAGGGTTAGGGAGGAAAATGTTCAACAGTGAATAAATGGAATTCCAGGTTCTCTATAAACATTTGTTAAAATATCAATTAAAATTAAAAAAAAATTTTTTAAAATATAAAATTCAACAAGCTTCAGTATATGACTGCGAAAAGGCTAAGAGCATGGCTTTTGAATCAAAGAAGCCCAGGTTTAAATCTTGACTTGGCAGCTGTGAAACATAGCACAAATGACTTGACATCTCTGTGCTTCAGATTCCTCACTGGTGAAATGAGGAAGGATGAGGGATTGGAGATGATGCCATAAGATCTGCCTCATTTGGTTCTGATGAAGATGAACTAGAATCCTGCACATCAGGGCTCAGCACAGCACCTTCACATAATAATACTCAAT